CTGACGCAGACCACGTGCCGGACGGTCCCCCGTCCGACTCCACCCTTCGAGCTCCGATGCCCGCGGCGCCTCATCAGGACGCCTCGACTGACTGGTCCGTCCAGTTCCCACCCACAGCCTCGCTGCTCAGCGGGGATGTCCCCCCGGAGGCCTTTATGTGCAGTCTCGTCCAGCCGCGCGATATGGCCCTGCACGAGGACCACGCCATCATCCGCCCTTTGTTTGAGGTATGTTCTCCCTTTTCGTTGAATGACGCTTATATTTCCTTGTTTTGTTATCTTGTCTTCTATTCATGCTTGTCCTCGTACAGACGGTTGTTCGTGCCATGACCCTGGAGAGAGCCATAGGGGGCGTCCGCGAGCAGCTGGAGACCGAGACGCGGGCTCGCTAGGTCGTGAGTGATAGACTTGCTGCGCTAGAGGATCAGCACGCCGCGTTAATTGACAGCCGGTCGCGGGAGCGTAATGCGCATCAGGTGGCCCTGAAGGAGGCTGCGAGGGTGGCTGTTTCAGCTTACAAGGACTCCCAGGCCTTCATCCAGGATATCCAGGCCTACATCTCTGCGCACCCCCAGGAGACCCTGACTCATCTTACGAGCTTCCTGAGGGGAATGAGTGTTTGGGTCGGCACGGGATGGAGTTGTTCGAGGCGGGGGAGTCTTCCATGCAGGGCAAGATCTTGCAGTTCTTCGTGCCAGAGACGCGTCCTTTGACCCCGTTGCATGGGGCCTGCCCGAGGAGTGGGAGGAGGAGCCAGGTGATCCCATGGACGTGGCTGTGGGTGAGGACGGCGAGCGTCCACCCTTGGACTCGGCGGCCGACCGCTCGTCGAGTGCGGACTCGCAGCCGACCTTCTTCGCTTTGCCGGCGTGGGTGCCCCCGAGGAGGAGACTCAGGCTGCCTTGGGCGATGATGACGGCACCCGCGAGGCCACGCAGCCCTGACGTCTTTCCATGTTGGCGGCCTCTCATCTCTATTCAGCTGCTGCATAGACTATCTTTCTATTTTGCTTAGACTGGCGTTACTTCGTTGTTATTTCGCTTAGACTGGTGTTACTTCGTTGCTTGGGTTGCCGCCCCTATGCTTCTTTTGTTTATTTTGCTTGCTTTGGACATATCGGCTGGTGTTATGACGTTGTTTGCTATGATACCGCTCTTCTATTTCGTCTTATGCTTCATCTGTTTTACTTGTGTATTCCTCTTGATTGCCCCTCGTCCACACTTGGGACTGATGAATTCTGGTACCGCGGGAGTTTAACTACCCGCTATCGCGGTGTCAGCTAGCCCGGTTAGACCTCGTACCGCCTCTGGGGCGCTGGGGTTGCGTTGCGCCCGTCCGGCGACAGGTGAGGTCGGACCTCATGTCGCCCCTAGGACGCCTTAGCGATTCTTGGGATGGAGTCCAACGACTCGCGTCCCGAATCCTTCCGTTCGGCGGTAGGCAAGGGCGGACCTCGTACCGCCCCTAGGGCGTTTGAGGTTGCGTTGCGCCCGTCCGGCGACAGGTGAGGTCGGACCTCATGTCGCCCCTAGGGCGCCTTAGCGATTCTTGGGATGGAGTCCCACGACTCGCGTCCCGAATCCTTCCGTTCGGCGGTAGGCGAGGCCGGACCTCGTACCGCCCCTAGGGCGTCTGAGGTTGCGTTGCGCCCGTCCGACGACAGGTGAGGTCAGACCTCATGTCGCCCCTAGGACGCCTTAGCGATTCTTGGGATGGAGTCCAACGACCCGCGTCCCGAATCCTTCCGTTCGGTGGTAGGCGAGGGCGGACCTCGTACCACCCCTAGGGCGTGTGTTATATCCGATGTGGTCGCCGACCTCCAGGTCTGGCTGACCTCGTGCCGGCCGACCCCCCCAGGTCTGGCCAACCCCGTGCCGGCCGACCTCGGGTAGGTCGGCCTTGGGGTGCCTTCGCTTGTCCGCCATTCGGGACAGGGTAACTTGTTAAAAAAAAAACTTCTTATTCCATTGCGAATGTAAACAAACATTATTGTGGGGACCTGGCCTTTTATTGGGAAGGGGGACAGGCCATACAAATGAATGTCTACTGGTAGAACTTCAACAAGTGCTCTGAGTTCCAAACCCTGTCTACCACCTTGCCCGATGTGGTCCTTAGCCTGTAACTGCCCGATCGTACTATGGCCTCAATAACATACGGTCCCTCCCATTTCGTTGCAAATTTGCCTCCATCTTGGGGTCGGCTTGCCTCCCTCCTTCGGAGGACGTAGTCACCAACCTGGAAGTAACGGGGTCGGACTCGGCTGTCATGGTAAGCTTTTGTCTGGCGTTGGTAATTTTATGCGCGGGCCATGGCCTCCTCCCTTCTGTCGTCGATGAGGTGGAGGTCGGCGGCGTGGTGTTGTTCGTTGAGGTCGGGGTCGTACACTGCGACTCGATAGGATGGTATCACGGCTTCAGTGGGAGCCCGTGCTTCGAACCCGTATGCCAGCGCGAACGGTGTCTCCCCGGTGGCCCTTCTTGGGGTGGTGCGGTATGCCCATAGGACGGTGTCCAACTCCTCTACCCATGTTCCTCCGGCTGCGTCCAGGTTCTTCTTGATGCCGTCGATTATAGTTCTGTTGGCGTTCTCCACCTGCCCATTCGCTTGTGGGTACGCCACCGCCACGCGGGTGTGCTTTATGTACCATTGGTCGCAGAATGCCTTAAATTCCTTACTTTCGAATTGGCGCCCATTGTCGGAGATGATCTGCATGGGGACCCCAAAACGGTATAAAATGTTCCTCCGTATGAACTCCGTGCACCGGGTGCTTGTGATGGTGGCGAGGGGTTCCGCCTCCACCCACTTTGTGAAATAGTCTATGGCGACTATTATGTACCTCCTCTTTGCGGACCCCATGGGTAGGGCCCCGACGATGTCGATCCCCCAACGTGCAAACGGGATTACCGTGCTGATTGGCGTGTAGCTGGTAGCCGGCCGTCCCGGCTCCGCGTGAAAGTGCTGGCAAGTCGGGCACCTCCGGGCGTACTCTGCACATTCCTTGGCCATGCTTAGCCAAAAGTACCCCTGCAATAGGGCCCTCCTCGCCATGGTGAAGGCTCCTTGGTGTGCGGCGCAGGTGCCTTCGTGTATCTCCTCCTTGACGGACTTGGCTTCGTCCGGGTATAGGCATCGGAGGAGGGCACCGTTGTAGGACCTTTTGTAAAAGGTGTCTCCAAGGAGGATGTATGTTGGTGATCTCCTCTTGACCGCCTTGGCGGCTGCCTCGTCTGTTGGTAGGGTACCCTTTCTCTTATACTCGATCAGGTGGTCCAACCAGCACGGGGACCGTGTTTGTATGGTGAGGACGGGGTAGGCCTCCAGGCTGGACCTCTGGAGGTCTTCAATCCGTGCTATCTTAGAGATATGCTCCAGGGTGCCGAGGCCGAGCTTGGAGAGCACATCCGCGTCCCCGTTTTGACTTCGGGGTACCTGCAAAATTTCGTAGAGGGTCAATTGACCGAGGACCTGGAGCACCACGTCGCGGTATCTCCGCGTTCTCTCCTCGTTGGCCTCGAATTCACTGTTCACCTGCCCGACCACCAGTCGGGAGTCGCACCGCACCCTTATTTTGGAGGCCCTCAGACCCAATGCCAGCCTGAGGCCACCCAATAGTGCCTCGTATTCAGCCTCATTGTTAGACAGCTTAAAGTGGAAACGAAGGGCGTAGTAGGCCCGGAACCCCTCCGGGGTTACGAGTACCACCCTTCCGCCACACCCTTTGGGGCCGGACGAGCCATCCGTGGACAGGGTCCACCAATCCTCCTCATTGCTCCGGGCTAGTTCGGCGGCCTCGCGAGCGGTGCACTCAACTATGAAGTCGGCGAGCGCCTGCCCCTTGATTGCCGGTCGGGGCTTGAACTAGACATCATATTGGCTCAAACGCATGGACCACTTGACCAATCTGCTTGCCGACCCTGAGGCCCTCAATACTGCCTCAAGGGGTTGGTTGGTGAGGACCCGTACGGGGTGTGCTTGGAAGCAATGCCCGAGCTTCTTGGCTGTGGCGTCCACGGCGAAGATTGCTTTCTCCGTGGGTGAGTACCTGAGCTCGGCGCCTCGGAGGGCTCTGCTCACGTAGTACACCGGGCGTTGGGTTCCCGCATCATCCCGGACCAGTACGGAGCTGATCGCGGCCTGCGAGATGCCCAAGTACAGGTACAAGACCTCCCCTTTCTCCGGTTTGGCTAGGGGGGGGGGGGTAGCATCATGAGGTACGTCTTGAGGTCCTCAAAGGCTTTCTAGCATTCGTCTGACCACTCGAACCCCTGGTTCTTCTTGAGGACCCCAAAAAATGGCAGGGACCTCTCGGCTGACCTTGAGAGGAATCGACCGAGAGCTGCCAGCCGACCATTGAGGCGCTGGAACTCGCGGAGGGACCTCGGAGGTTCCATCTCCAGGATGGCCTTGACTTTTTCGGGGTTGGGTTCAATACCCTCTTTGAGACCATGTACCCCAAGAATTTCCCTCCGTGTACCTCGAAAGTGCATTTCTTGGGGTTCAAACGTAAATCAAAATGTCTCATAATGGAAAATACCTCGGTCAAGTCGGCTGGGTGTAGGTCGGCCTTCGTGCTTTTCACAATCATGTCGTCCACATAGGCCTGTAGGTTCCGGCCGAGGACCCTCTTGAACACCTTGGCCACCATTCTTGTGTATGTGGCTCCCGAGTTCTTGAGCCCGAACGCCATGACCCGATAGCAAAAGACCCCTTCGGGGGTGGTGAACGCCGTTTTTTCTTCGTCTTCCTCGTGCATGAAAATTTGGTGGTACCCCCGGAAGGCGTCTAGGAAGCTCATGAGTGCGCATCTTGCTGTTTCGTCCACCAGCTGGTCTATGTTGGGTAGTGGAAAGGGGTCCACGGGGCCTGCCTTGTTGAGGTCCGTGTAGTCCACACACATCCTCCACGTAGGTGGTTTAGGTGCGAGGACTACGTTCGCGAGCTATGCCGGGTATGTGGCCTCCCTGATGTGCCCGATCTCGAGGAGGGTGTCGACCTCCTTCTTCACAAACTCCCGTCTATCAGCGGCGAGGTAGCGCTTCCTTTGTTGGACCGGTTTGGCTTTGGGGTCCACCGCCAGTTTATGCGTGATGACCTCCCGGCTGAGGCCCGCATGTCTTCGGGACCCCAAGCGAACACGTCTTTATAGCTGCGGATGACCTCGACAATCCGTCCTCGGAGGTCAGCTGGGAGGCCGGTGCCCACCTTCACCATCCTGTCAGGTCGGCTGAGGTCCAGGATGACCTCTTCCGTCTCCACCACGGGTTCGGCGCGGGGCCGCTTCTCCTCTTCCCGGAGGGCCCTCTCGGTTACTGTGTGTACCTGGAGGTCCTTTTTCGTTATTTGGCGGCAGGCCTTCAAGTAACAGCTTCGACTGACCTTCTGGTCCCCCCTCGCGGTGCCCACTCCGATGGGAGTAGGAAATTTGAGGCAAAGGTGCTCCATAGAGATGACGCACCTGAGGTCCTCCAAGGCAGGTCTGCCAAGGATGATGTTGTGGGCGCAACCGATCTGCGCTTTAAGGATAACGGACCCTTCTGTCTCAATGGAGTCTCCGGTGAAGCCGGATAGCGGGGTCCGAACCTGGGAAAGTTGCTTCCTGGATAACCCGAGTTGCGTGAAGGTGTCATAATACATGACATTCACGGAGCTCCCCGTATCTACCAGTACCCGGTGGACGATGGTGTCATTAAGGTCCAAGCGGATTACCAATGCGTCCCGGTGGGGTAAGGGTCCATCCGGGAGGTCGTCGTCGGTGAACGTTATGGGCTCCCTGCGTGTCCTCTTCTCGTGGGGTGCTCTGACGACCTCCCCAACGTATAGGCTCCGCGCCCACTTCTTCCTCTCAGCGGGTGTGTCCCCTCCCTCCGGGCCGCCGAAGATGACATGGATGACCTTCTTCTTTGGTGGGCTGTCTGGCTCAGTCCCCTCGTCCTCCGTGAGGTGGTCGAGCTCCCTCTTGCGCGGGGCAGAAGTAGAAGGCCCGGTGCCATCCTTCTTCTTTCGGGTGTTGTCAGGGCCTTTTGCGTGGTCCTGCCCAGACCTCTTCACGTATTGCCCCAGGTATCTTCGTTGAATGAGCTCCTCAATCTGCCTCTTGAGGACCATACATTCGTCGGTGTCGTGTCCACGTTGCCGATGGAAGCGGCAATACTTCTTCGGGTCGGCTTTGGGGGAAATCTTTAAGCATTCCTCGGGGAACGATACGATGCCCATGTCCTCGGCATGGTCCAGGATTACGCTAACAGGTTGTGTCAACGGGGTCAAGTGTCGTAGCGGGGCTAGACGGGGACCTCGGTCACGTCGCGACCGGGGAGGGCGGCGATCCTCTTGAGGGTGAGATGCCCTGTCACCCTGTCCGCGGACTTCCTCCTCCTCCTTCTTCCTCTTCTCTGCTGCTTCCGCATTGGCGTACCGCGCGGCGCGGTCCATCCGTTCTGCATAGGTCTTCGGCTCATTCCGAACAAGATCGCTGTGGAAAGGGCCCGACCTGAGGTTGTTGGTGAAAAACGGGATGGCGGACCTTTCATCAAAATTTGTTACCCCCATAGCTTCTTTCTTCCACTTACTCAGGTACTCCGCCAGAGATTCCGACTTGTCTTGCTTCAGGTAACATAGGTCGGCGAACTGCTTTCGCCGTTGTACGCTGCCCGCAAAGTGCGACAGGATCTTCTTGGTCAGGACCGCAAAAGTGGGAATGGATTCCCCCGGGAGGGACCCGAACCAATCCTGGGCCTGCCCATCCAGAGTCGTGCAAAAACTGCGACACATGATGGCGTCATTTATGCCTGTCATCATCATGACCGCTTTGTACCTGTTGAGGTGGTCCCGCGGGTCCGTCGCCCCCGTGTAGGGTTTGATGGTCGGGAACCGGAAGTCCCGAGGTAAAGGCTCGGCCATGATGGCCTCTGTGAAGGGTGTGGCCAGGGCGTCCCGGGGCTCCGGGGAGTCGTCGCGCGCCTCCATCTTGCGCTGCAACTCGCGGACCTGTCGACGCAACTGTTCCATCTCTTCGCGCTGGGTGCTCGGGGGTTGGCCTCTGGTCTCCCCTGAGCGTTCCACGGGTGGGGCCGGCTCCCGCTGCCTCGGGACACGGGGTTCGTGGCTCCGGGACCTCCGCGAGCACGATGACTCCTCCTGCCTGACGTGCGTGATCGGCCCCGGCCCCAGGCGGTCTCGCGCCGGTACGCGTGGACCCAACCGCCCAAGCGCGGAGGTGGTACGCGCCGGCCGAGTTCGCCCTTCATTTCGCTGCTCGTGTCGGCCTCGGGTGGCTTCCGCCCCGTCGCGCCTCCCAGAAGGTCGTGGTGAATTGACTTCCTCCTCAGCCGGTGCTGCGGGTTCCCGAGGCGCCTGAGTGCTGGGGCCGCTGCGCACCCTCGCAGGGGGCTAGGGTGGGGGCGCTGGGCCTCCCCGGCGCAGCCCTGCCGCGACGCGGTTGAGCGCGTTCGCCGCCTGTTCTAGTATGACGGCATCTTGTTGGGAGGTCGGGACCTGAGGTGGTGCGGGTGGCGCTGCCCCGCCGAGAGGGCGATTATTGGTGAGACGGCTCCGAAGGTCCCCCACGGCCCCCTGTCGACTCCCGTTGATCTGGTCCCGGAGGTCCTCCCCGGCCACTACGGACATGGTCTGTCGGCTCGCCACGACCCCGTTGGGGCGGTTGACGAGGGCGAGGTCGCGTGGGTTGCGCGAGCCCTGCGAGTTGTGGGTGTTCGACCCGGATCTTGTCATTGCTGTCAATGCAGGATAATAGGGAGAGGGCTTAAGCTTGAACAGCTGCTCTCAACAAGAGCACCAATGATGGATTATATGAACCCGGGGGTCCGGATTATACAACCCGCGTGTATGTTTGAATATAAGAAATGGATAATAAAACGGTAAAGATTGTATTAATTGGACATAAAATGCTATTACAGAGGTTCGGGACGTGTAATAACGAGACAAAAGCTGTAGGAAAAGTATGAGATGTCTCCTTAGGACACCGGGGGGTGTTTATATACCCCTGACTGCCTCGGGCCCCGGGCCCGCGGGAGGAGCCGCGGCCCGCGGCGCGGGACTCGCTCCACGCGAGGACCCGGCCATTGGCCGAGCGCGGAGCTCGGCCGAGGCCCATGGGGGCCGAGGCCGAGCCCATGTGGCCGAGCCCAAGGAGCTCGGCCGAGTTCTGGGGGTCGGCCTGGGCCGACCCCGGGGTGGTTGGTCGACCCCGGGGTGGTTCGTCCTGCTCTGGGTCTGACCCGGCTTGTCCTGCATGGCTCCGCTCCGGCTCCGTGATTATTCCATCAGGGATGTTGGAGTGACAACATTCAACATGGCCATTAAATTGGTATTAAAACCAATTGTGTAACACCTGTAACAACCACCGACTAAGTAGGATTAAACACAGTTTTAAAAATTGGAATTAAAACAGTGTTAATTCCAGTAACAGATGAGTTTAATCTTCTGAACTTTCGGGTTTCAGACCGTTGGGGTGCAGGTTCGCACGAGAGTGGTGCTCAAGCCGAACCAAGTGACTATATCGATTGGAAAATGATACCGAAGTTTGGCATAACTTAACCCGCAAGGCCAGTCAATTTCTGGACGACATTCGTGCCCGCAGGTGCCGGCGCACGCGAGCTCAAGCCTTTTTGATCTCTTCTAGTTGGATTTTGATTTGCACCCCACTCCCCGCACGCGCGCGCGCGAGAGAAAGCCTCTATGCTATACAATTCTACAAGCTTCAAAAGAGCTCTTGTTTATAAGGGGGGCAAATCTTCTTTCCAAACCAATGTGGGACAAAGTCCACTATTTCCCTTCATTTCCCAACTCAAATGGGTCTATTTTAAGAATCAATATCTCATTCACCCATTATCCGTTTTGAGCGTACAATATATCAATCTCTTCGTCTCACTACGAAGAACCCGAATCCACTTTGACCTGACCCAAATTGGAAGTGGACCCCACTGATAATTGTACCACAAAATAGCCACTTAATATGCCATTTTATATCATTTTAAGCTAATTTTTCCAACAACTACCACTTGCTCGGGACCCTTTGACCCACTGTCATCTATTTCCGAGCTCAATTCCTTAAACCCATAAGCTAATGATCCAAGGACCCAGTTACGATCCGATTTAATATTTGTACGTATTTGTGAGAACGACCGTATTTACCACATCAAATAGGGATAATTGAATTAATCAATTAGGTACATTTTCATATCATTCAATCTTTTCTAATCTTAAATATATATATTTCATTGACGACCCTTAAGAAAAACATAAGTAATTAATTTAATCTAAATTATGCGTATTTTGATTTTTTTTTGGTGGCTGCATGCATGCATGTTTCATTGACGACACTCATGAAAAGCAAATATAGTTAATTTAGTCTAAATTATGTTCATTTTTATCTTTTTTGGTGGTTGTATATATCTTTCATTGGTCGTCACACTTGTGAAAAATAAATAGACAATTGAAAAATATAAAAGAATTAGTCTACATACGATGAGCTATTCATCATGTTCTTGTAGAGGTGTACGTGTATGCAAGGGCAATTATGCTCCTCTCATGGTTATTACTTATTAGATATAAATATTAGATTTGAATGATTCCATTTTCTTAAACAATGGTAAAACGTGTACCACAATGTTATAAGAGTTACATCAAATGGTAGTTATAGACTTATAGTGTGAACTTTGCCAAAAAAAAGGAGAGAAATAAATAAAAGAAATGATATAGTTTTCTATTTTTTTAAATTTAAAATAATAAAGTACTTGCACATGATATTACTAATGTTATTTATCTTTCTTGTGTGATTTGTAAGTTATTAGAGTATCCACAAGAATGAATTTTGACGAGCTTTTGTCAGAATATTTTTTTTTCTACAAATGCAATTTTTTGTGGGAAAATGGAAATAAACCTGAGCTTGTCCGCTCCTGCGCGTTTGGCGCACAAATTGTGCCCAACAGGCGCGTGAATTTAGTTTTTAGTTTTTTTTTTTCTCATAATTTTGTTTTTGATTTCCCCCCTCCCCCTCTTGCCTACATGGCATGAAAAAAATTAAGCAAAAATCTAAATTAATGAAATTGCTCTTACACAAGCGAAGTTTACTCAGTGCACACCATATGACTATTTAGTTCTTTTGACACCAAAAAAAAAAAAAAGAATACTAAAAAGATTTAATGAAATCATATTATAATTCTTAATTTTATTCATAAATTAGGTTGCATAGGTATGCTTCTCACGAGAATAAAGACCAACGGAACACTCGTATGGAGTGTAGCTACAACGGAACACGCATCCAGAGCGCAACTACAACAGAGCATTTTTTCGGTAACGCAACTACAACGAAACATTCATCCGGAGCGCGCACTACAACAGGGCACTCATCCAAAGCTTTAATAAATGAAGTCGGACACAGAAACATGCCTTCAGTGTATCCACTAAGATTTTGACCACAGTGAAAAAGAAGAAGTTGAGTCTTTCAAAATAGATAGTTTGAGAAAGTATGTTTGATGGAGATTAGATAAAGTGATGGGCTATTTGTATGGTATTTATATGGACTATGGTTGGATATACAATATCGAAGATGTTGCGAGAAGAAGATGTGGTGTCACCAGCCGGGGGTAGCGGCGGCGGCGGTTTTATTTTTATTTTTATTATAGGGCTTTTAGCCATGGATCGTTTGGTCTTCTGATACCATATGAAAATAATAGTTATAGGAATGATATTATTATTGATCAATCCATTATGATATAAAGTATGTATATGATGGAGAGTTGCATTTATAAGGATACAAAGAGTCCTAGTCATGATAAGAATGATAAATGACAATATTTCTAATAATATAGAGGGAAAGAGAATGAATTCTAGGGTGCCTAAAATACAGTCTAAATATAAGTAGGCGAATGGATTTAGATATAAAGAATTAATAAAGAAGAAAATGCTATGTGCATTTTCGGAGAGTAAAACTGTTATTATATAAGATGAAAAATGAATTAAAAGTATAACTCACTTTTTGTTCTGAATCAAATCAAAGTATGTCAAGTAAAAAATGCATTATCATTCTAACAATTTATTTTGTAAACATTTCTGCTTATGATTAGTGAGTTAGCCTTTATTTAAAAAAAATTATTTAAAAAAAGAAAAATGTAAGTGCACTTTCAAAGAGCAAAACTATCGTTTTATGTTTTGACTTTATTGGATGAGAAAGATATTCGTTGATCAGTTTGGAATGCAGTTACAATAGAATACTAAGTAGATGTGTCTATTGTAAACTACTCCTATACAATAGGCTAGTCATACTAGGAAACTATTGACTTATTCTAATATAATATAAATAACACTTATAACAATAATAATAATAACATGGCTAACACTCCCCCTCAAGCTCAAGGAGGGTGCACAACCACATTGAGCTTGTCTCGTAAAGCAGCAAAACGCGGGCCAGGCAACGGTTTGGTGAAGATATCCGCTAGTTGGTCCTTGGTTGAAACGAAATTGACTGTCATGTCTCCGGATGCCACCTTGTCACGAACAAAGTGGTAGTCAATTTCTACATGTTTAGTCCTGGCGTGGAAAACCGGGTTAGCACAAAGGTAGGTAGCGCCAAGATTATCACACCACAGAGTAGACGGTTCCCCGTTATGTAGACCTAGCTCACGCAGCAGCGACACAACCCATGTGACCTCAGCAGAGACGTCAGTGAGAGCTTTGTACTCAGCCTCCGTGGAGGAGCGAGCAACAGTGCACTGTTTCCTGGATAACCAAGAGACTAGATTAGTCCCGAGAAAGACAGCGTATCCACTAGTACTCTTTTTGTCTACCGGGCAACCAGCCCAATCGGAATCTGAAAAGGCATGAATAGTGGTCGAGGGAGAAGGCGCGAGTCGTAGGCCGTGATTGAGAGTCCCCTTGATGTACCGTAGGACCCGTTTCGCAAGGCCCCAATGATCAGCAGTTGGAGAATGCATGAATTGACATAACCGATTCATAGCAAAAGACAAATCAGGCCTCGTTATGGTTAAGTACTGAAGCGCCCCTACTATGCGGCGATATTGTGTCGGATTGTCACACGGTTCCTGAGACGGGGAAACAGCGTGAGTTACTGCAGCAGGTGTAGCAAGTGGTTTGCACTCAGACATTCCAGCGCGAGCTAGTATGTCATTCATATAACGACGTTGTGAAAGCATCATCCAGAGTCAAGCTGAACTGTTTCTATGCCCAGAAAGAACCCAGGTGTGCCGAGATCCCAGATTTTGAATGTGTCTGATAGTCGGTGTAGAAGAGTGGTGATGAGGGCTGCATCATTGCCCATCATAATTATGTCATCAACATATACGAGCAGGTAGACCCGTGATTTTCCAGAAGTGAAATGGAAAAGAGAAACATCCGTTTTCGATGGTAAAAAACCTGCAGAAAGCAAATAGTCATGCAGCCTTTTGAACCAAGCTCGGGGAGCTTGTTTCAGGCCGTACAAGGAGCGCTGAAGATGGCACACATAATCAGGATGTGTGGGATCCTCATACCCCGGTGGCTGCTTCATGTAGACCGTCTCAGCTAGATGCCCATTAAGGAAGGCATTATGTACATCTAGCTGACGAAGTGTCCAATGATGAGAAACAACAAGAGAGAATAGCAGACGGACAGTAGTCGGCTTGACCACCGGACTAAAGGTGTCGAAGAAGTCCTCGCCTGCTACCTGATTAAAGTCTTTGGCCACAAGCCTGGCTTTATAGCGCTCAACTGAGCCGTCAGCAGTACCCTTGGTCCGGAATACCCACTTGCACCCGATGACATTCATGTGGGGTTCGGAAGGCACCAGGGACCAGGTATTGTTGTGTAAGAGTGCATTGAACTCTTGGTCCATAGCTTCACGCCATTGCGGGTGGCCAACAGCTTGTGAGTAGCATGTTGGGTCCGCAGTTGCGCTTAACGCATGTAATTCTTCGCCCGTTCCTCGAGTCATACGGCGAAGCCGCATTGTATGATCCCGAACCCGAGTCTGAGCTCTTCGGACTCGGACGGCACGAGTCTTGACAGGCCCTTCAATAGCCAATGGAGGTGGCGCTTCTTGTGCTAAGGGAACCGGACTAGCCGACGGCCCTGGCACATTCTCGGGGGAAACCACCGTGGGAGTAGACACAGTCTGAGTTAAAATAGGACTGGTCGCCCACGGTAGTGCCGGTGATGACACGGCGTTGTCAACCTGTTTCTCCAATTCTGCAAAAGGAAAGATGTGTTCGTCAAAGCGCACATGGCGACAGATATAGACCTTTCCGGTAGTTAAATCAACACATCTGTACCCCCTAAAGGACACCGGGTAACCTAAGAATACACAGGGTGTAGACCGATACTCCATCTTATGCCGATTGTAAGGCCTAAGATGGGGATAGCAGCGACACCCGAATACACGAAGAAATGTGTAAGGCGGAGACACTTTGTGTATAAGACTGTAAGGACTTTGAAACTGTAGGGCTGATGATGGTAGATAATTTATTAGACATGTGGCTGTTTCAAAAGCGTAGTCCCAATATTGTAGCGGGACTGAACCTTCGGCCAGTAGGGCCAATCCGGTTTCGACTATATGTCGATTCTTGCGTTCTACCCGCCCGTTTTGTTCGTGCGTATAAGCACATGACTGTCTGTGGTTTATACCGAGATTAGCAAAAATGTTATGTAATTTACGGTACTCCCCACCTAGATCCGATTGGATGGATTTGATAGAACGTGAAAATTGGCGTTCTACAAGGACACGAAACACCTCGAAAGTTTTATATATATCTGATTTTACCCGTAAGGGATAAAACCAGGTGAAACGGGAAAAATCGTCAACGAATAATACAAAATACCTATAGCCACTACTGGAAATTACATGGGAAGGCCCCCAAATATCAGTATATATTAAATCTAATACATGCTGACTACTAAAAGGAACCCTATCTAAAGGAAATCGGGCTGATTTTCCCATATGACACGATTTGCATGACTCCAGTAAGACGGCTTTATTTGTTGCGACCGGGCAGATTTTTAGGACACGACTCTGAACACTTGCATGCGGATGGCCAAGCCTTCGATGCCACACATCGGGAGTGGTACGGGAAGTGAGGTAAGCAAATTGAGATTGTGACACCGGAAGTTTATATAGACCACCCGAGGTGGGCCCTTTAAGCAGTGTTGCCTGTGTTATGGAATCCTTGACATAAAAACAGTTTTTGTAAAATTCAAAATAGCAGTTATTTTCATTAGTAAACCGCTGGACTGACAGTAAAGGAACGGATAAATCAGGAACTAATAAAACATTAGACATTTTAAGTGACTTAGACACAGATGGTACAGACGCATGACCAACTCGGGAAATAATCAAACCTGCACCATTTCCTACGCGCAGAACATCGCCACCCGTATATTCGTCTGATTGGGACATCAGACTTGCGTCTGGTGTAGCATGAGCCGACGCGCCGGTGTCGGGAAACCACCCGTCCGTCGAACCCGGAGCAGATTCATCTCCAGCAACCGCGACGTGAGCCTGCACTGTGGACTGTCCGGAGTAACGCTGGTAGCACGTCATGGCGGTATGGCCCTGGGCGTGGCAAATTTGGCAGCGAGGAGTGCCGTTCCGTCCGCGTCCCCGACCTTGGCCGCCTCGTCCGCGATTACGTCCCCCGGACTGCCCACTGCCACGCCGTCCGCCGCCCCCATTGCGGCCTCGTCCGGCATAGTGAGCCGTTGGTGGAGCGGCAAAACCAGACTCGGCACCCGGAAAATCCTCCGCATGTATAAACTCCTGTGCCTGTAAGAAATCTGAGAGTTGGGAGATTGTTACCGGTGTACCCGCAGCTGTAAGAGACGAGGCCATTGCTCGGTATTCTGGACGCAGCCCGCGGAAGACGAACAAATTTTGTTCATCAAGTGAAATAGGCCGCCCGGCGAGCGCTATATTTTCCACCAGCAGTTGCGCTCTGCCGAGATATTCGGCAGCCGAGCTATTCCCTTGGCGTAAAGAGTGGAACTGGCCAAGGAGCGACAGACAACGGGCGCGGGTGGAGCTACTGAGTGCCGTGGTGATGGACTCCCATACTTCCCGGGATGTCGACCGGCCAACCGCCAAGTGCATCACCTCATCCGAGAGGGATGAGATGAGTAAAGATAGGATTGCCTGATCCTGTCTGATCCACGCCTTGTAGTCGGGATTCGGGATCGAAGCCGGGGTGGCGGAGGCAGTGGCGGATTCACCGGATTCCGGCGTAGCGGCGATGAGTGGTGGCGGGCACGAGATCTCACCATTAACGAACCCGAGCAACTCCTGGCCACGAAGGAATGGCACCAACTGAGTCCTCCAAAACAGAAAGTTGCGCATTGTCAACTTTATGGACACATATTGTAGAAATGAGGTAAACTGAATAAAAATTATAACTCACTTTTTGTTCTAAATTTATCAAAGTATGTCAAGTCAAAAGCGAGTAAAAAGTGATAATATATGTAGTACAATAACTTTTTTTTTTAATAACAATTATTGAAAAAATATACCATATTTAAAGAGAGAGATATAGGGATTTTGTAGTTTTTTGGAAAACAATAAGTGCACTTTTTGATAGTAAAACTCCTGTTATATGTGCTGATTTTATTGGAGAATATATGTAAATGAATAAAAATTGTAACTTGCTTTTTTACTCTTTGATTTACGGGAAGATCCGTAGTTGTTATCCAAATGTGCGCTTTGAGTGATCGAAACTCGCATTGTGACCTTAACTGGTAAAGAATCACAATTCAAAAGGAAGTAAACCAACTTAAATCAAATTTAAAATCTTGTAGTTAATTAAATAAATCAACTGTCTGACCAACTTGGAGGCTGCCCCACTTGCTTCTTATTCTGAATCAATCAAAATATTTAAAGTCATAAAGAAAAAAACAACAGTTTTTCCTTTTAAATTTTTTATTGTAAGAAATAAGAATGTGCCCTAACTACCAAACTACACATAATCTCATAATCTGGGTTTAAATAATGGAACGTGACAATGAAAAGATTGAAAACATCATTAAGAATATTATGCATTCCAAGAAGGGTTAGACTTTGCTCAATATTTTAAAATCGGAGCATGTGAACTTGGTGGCGTGGTGCCAACTTGCATTTAATGCACATCAAATCGTCAATATTATACTTAAGGAAAGTCTACACGTGTTAATAAATATTGATATCTTTTACATCGAGTGTAACTCAAAAAAAAAAAAAATTGTACAACATAACTAAAAGAATGTGCTTTGTAATGTCACATTCTCATGTTTGGTTCATATTATCTTACTTTGTTAAGGGAATATAACTTTCCTTAAGGAATGTAACATACCCTCTCCATATATTTAAAAGAGAATGCGATTCCCTCATGCACAACCGTGTAAGGCTCTTAACGAACTGAACATGAACGAACAAATGTTGTTCATGTTCGTTTGTTGATTTTTAGAGTGTTCGTGTTCGTGTTCGTTTGTCAAGGTCCTTTTCGTGTTCGTTTGTTAAGTGTTCATTAGTGTTCGTTAATGTTCATGAATGTGTTTGTAAACGTTTGTGAACGCATTTGCAAACATGTTCGTTAACGTTCGTGAACACCTTCATAAACATTAAATAAACAAACACATGCACATGTTCATGATAATAATTCGTTCGTGAACAAGAAATAGTCTCTGTTCACGAACAATAACCAAACAAACAATATAACGACTATAAAAATAATACAAATAAGTCCAAAAATAGCATCTAATATCAAAGTAACAATACCAAGTCTCAAAAAAAAAATACACAAATTGTTTGTTCACATTACAAATTAAACCAAAAACATAAAAACATAAAAACTTAAAACATAAGATATTTAGATTCCACATCTGGTATCCCAATAAAATTAATAAAGTAGTATAATTGTATAGTCTTAATTTTTTTTTTTATTACAAAGGAAGGGGGATACCCATACAAACTACGCCTACACTTTGGCTCAAAACCTAAACCTCCCACATAAGGGAACAATCCGATACTAGTGGACCACAAGCCACTTTTGTATAGTTTTAATATGTGTGTCTGTGTATGTATTAATATATAGAGGAGTGAAATTAAAAAAATAAATATAGGCGGCTTAAGTGCTTGTTCAGACTTCAGAAC